GGGATCTGACACCGCCCTGAACCAGGTCCTGCCTGTGATCTCAGACGACACGTGTTCCCGCGCCGACTGGTACGGGTCAGAGTTCATCCGGAGCACCACCTTCTGCGCCGGATACGCCGAGGGCAAGAAGGACGCATGCGCGGTAAGATAATAATCTGTCCCCTTCGTTTTAGGCATGAAAAATTATGAAATTATGCAAACTGGGCCCAAAAATGTGGAATTATGCGATTCTGTTAATTTTAACAAAGAATAATAAATGAAAATAATCAGAAATTATGCAAAAAATGATCAAATTTTGCTAAATTATGCGGGGTGCATAAAACCATGGGGACAGAATAATATATTTACGGCTCTTGCAACCACAGAATTCTGCACTGAGTGCTTGCAACACACGTAGTGGTTTGGATACCGGACTCGTAATCGTGAGGTTGCGGGTTCGGGGGTTCGAGCCGCGGGCCCGACATTGTGTCCTTGAGAAAGACACTTTACACGAATTTTCCCCACTTCACCAAAGTGGGAATGGGTACCCAACTACAGACAGTGAAAGATTTTGCCAGTTTATTAGTGTTTGAGCACTTAACCAGCTGCTTGCACTGTATGCCTCCCGGGCAGCTGAGAATGTTTCTGAGTGTTCTATGGTCTGCTGGGGTAATAAATATAGTGTAAAGCGCATAGAATTTGCTTTCGAGTGGGGACATGCGCTACACAAATGCTATTTATCGTTATTATTATATAGGTGCTGAAGTCAGACAGACGGAATGTACAGACGGAAAAAATAAAAGTTGGACTTTTAAATGGCACCCTCCAACCATCCTCAAGCTATATATTATCATAAGGAGTAAAATATACATGATAATACATACGTTGTATAACAAGAAACTTACTTAACCCTCCACGACCGGTAGCAGACTAAAGGCAATGTTGAGGCACATGTAGCCATCATACACAAATCAGAAATGCGAATTTGCATATTTCACGGCATGCATGCAACAACATATTGCCTGTGTTTTAAAGTTTTAGATTCAAACACAAATGAGGAATTGAAAACTCAGAATTTGAAACAGAATTATGCTTTTATTTTTAAACTACTCGCGTCAACAAAGGTACGTTAAAGAATGGCCAGAATGTGTGTCATCAAAGAAATAAATAGGAGAAAGACATTTGTGAGGCAGCGTGGTGGAATCAGGCTCTCGTCAAAATAATCAAGGTGAAGACACTTGCATTTTTCTGTAGGCTTGTGCATTTTTATCAAATTTTTGTTTATTGGCTCAACACCTTTCATATCCATTTAAAAACTCATTTCTGTGTGGATTTGTTTGAAAAACGCTGAATAAAGGTACAATAAACGTAATTTTACGTCTCCATGGACTCTTAGACTAAGGAAATAACGAATCTTTGGCAGCCATTTTCTCACTAATTTTACCTCTGAAATCAAGTGACCCCCACCTCCTTCATTCGCAAATATCTCGCCTTGTATTCAAGATAAATGGATATTTTGTTATTCAAGTAAAGACGAGTGAACAAGCTTTAAGATGATACCAATAGCTCTTCATGCCCCAAAATTGACGAGAGCCTGATTCCACCACGTTGCCTCACGTATTTGTTTGTTTTAGTGGAGGTTTCACTGCATAAGGCCATAGTACAATCACAGGTATACAGCGGATAAGAGCTACCTCATCACGTAACTGAGAGTGAGAGACGATTGATTTGTTGTTTTCTGGGGGGGG